TGGGGGTTCAGAGCAGTCCATAGAGATGGGAGGAAGAAGGATTTCAGGGAGGGGAAGCCTGGCCTGACCACTGCACCATGAGCAGAAGCCTAACAATGCTAATAGGTCAGACAGTGGATTTGTATGGGATACTTTGGATAAGGATGATCCTGCCTCAGGCAAGGAGATAGGTGACCTCTGGAGGTCTCTTCCAGCCCTATTTCTCTATGATCCATGGCAGGACCAGCAAGCAGGTCATCCTGGGGCAGGTAGCCATGGACAAACACCAGGAAAGCCAATTGCTCCTGACCCCAAATGCAAGGTCATCATCCTTGCCCAGAAAGCCTCTCTTCTCTCACCAGGGCCAACACAACCTATATCTGTCCTGAACCAACTGTCTGTGGTGCCTGCCTGGTGGTCAGGACTCATGACCGTCCCTCAGGGCCCGCACTTTCTGCTTGTACATCTCACAGAGGTCTCCGTCCCCTCCCAAGCCAAGGAACTTCTGCTGTTCCCATCTGGGACAGCGGGCCCTGGCCTAACACCCACCCCCTCCGCACCTCCCAGCTGTCAGCCAAAGAGCTGGATGAAGCAGCAGGTTTTCCAGACTGCAGCTGTTTGGGGGGCATGCCTGTATTTTCACCAGTAGGTTTCACAGGGAATAAGTATTTCTGCTGGGCTCATAAGCAAGGCACTTCAGAGACCTACTGGCTGGCCCAGTTCAGCTACAAGGATACTAGGCAATACTGGACTGCACAACACCCCTGCCCCCACTCACACAGACAGTTAATTCATTGTTCCCACAATAAAAACCTGGGCTGAAGGTCTTCCTACAAAAGCATAGCCCCCACCCTCACTCCCCTTTCCAGACAGCTTGAACAATGCAGTCGCTACAGTGTGCAACAACACCAGCGTACAGAGCACCTCCGTGCCTAATACCAGGGCCTGATGCCCACAGCAGAGATGGGAGAAACAGCTGACAAGGAGCAGGCCACCCAACAACATTTTGGCAAGTGCTAGCTATTTCCAGATGGATCACCCCATCTGGGCTACAGCAAATCCATGCTTGGAGCATTTCCCCCTGCCAGTGGGGCAGTTGCTCTTTCTTTTGTTTCTCTCTAGCACCCTGCTTGGCTTCCTTGCCCTGAGCTGCCAGCTCCCCAATTCACCTGCCATGTTACCACCCTCAGCACCAAGCCTCAGCTGGTGCCCATTTGAAACCACTATGAACTTCTGGCACTGCAATGTGGTTCCCTGAGGGAGCCCTCTGCCACAATCACCTCACTCCCACCACCCTCACCCACTGCG